CTTCCCTGAGTTCATCTACTTATCTAATCCAAAAGGATTTTATGAAGATAGGTATGGTGGCACACACCTTAACCTGTGGCACATGGGAGATGAGGGCAGGAAGATTCTGAATTTGACACTAGCCTGGACTACATAGTAAGTCCATGTCTCAATAAACTATGATGACAATGATGATTATGGTGGTGATGATGGCAATAATGATAACAGGCTCCTATTGCTGTGTTACTACTCCAAGAAAATGAGCACAAGGGGTAGAAGGGTGGCCAACCAGGATGCCTACTGCACAAAGAGTAGAATCTGAGTTCAAATCTCTAGTAAACAAATGAAAATAAAGGAGTAAAGTTGCATGCTTGTAATCCTACACCTAAGAAGGTAAATACAGGGAGGATGTCAGGGGCTCACTTACTGGATAGTCTGGCCAAATTGGTGAGCTCCGGGTTTGGGGAGAGACTCTGTCTTGAAAACTAAGGTGGAGAGTAACCAACAACATTCAACCTTGGCTTCTGGTCTCTACACTGATGTGTACACATACACTAACATGTATACACAGTAAGCACTGACATGTACATATACACTAACATGTGCACACGGTAAGACTGGAAAGGAAGAGAAAGAAAAAAAAGGATGAGGATAGAGAGGGTGGAAATCAGATTAGAAGAGCACCACGTTACCAGTCTGGAGCTCAAGGCAGAGTGTTTGCCTCCCACACTGAGTGGTGTGTGAGACCCAGCGTTAGCACTTTAAGGGTGCAGAGAACTAAAATCAGGGAAACCTTCAAACAAACAAACATCAATCAGTCAATGGCACTGAGCCAAACAAGTCAGGTTCAGGTTGCAGAGCCAGCATTCATCAGTATCATCTCTTTAACCCTGGGTGAGAGATGTCACCTCTCTGAATTCACTTCCTCTAAAGAGGACAGAGTCACATAGCCCCTTATGGGATTACATGCCTCCTGTGTGGTCATTCTTTCATACCTGTGGCTAATACAAACTCAGAATCAAAGTATTTAGAGAAATAATGACTCTACACTGAATATTCACAGCTTCCCCCATCTTTTCCTAAACAATAATGCATAGCAACTACATTGTCATAGAATTTACTCGCGATAGGTGTTACAATCTAGAGCTGTTTAGGAGCCAGATCGCCACATTCCTAGTGACTAGCACAGATCTGTGAAACTGACAGAGTTTCTATACTTCATTACATCAGTCTTCATGATTGGGGCTAGTCACAATTTGTTTTCTATGGCCTTTTGTTTTCATCTTATTTCATTTCAAATTTTAATTATTTCTCTCTGTGTGTTCCTGTTTGTCTGTATATGCCTTGTATATGCAAGTGTCCTCATTCCCTGGACAGCATACAGGAATGCAGCATTAGACTGTCTCAGGTATGCCCTAGATTTCTGTCATTTATTGTCAGCACAAAAATGAATTTTCAGAGGGGCAGGCTTGCCAATGTGCAGGAGAAAGTAACCCAAACTTTCAAGAGAATGTCTTGAATTTTCTCCTTGCCTCTCAGCACAAAAGCCCAGTTCTGTAAGTACATACAGCACTGTGGAAAGGGTGAAGAGGCAGGGAAATGTAATTTTCCTGAACTGTCTGTTTCAGATACATCTTCCTTGTGCTTGACTGAGAAGATGGTTGTTTTTGTAGAAGGAGTTATTGCGTTCTTGCGCACGGGGACCAGTACTGGCACACACTTTCCTTCCTTATGAGGGCTCAGTTATTTCCATGGTGGGTTCTCAATTCACCCCCAGGGATCAGAATTTCATAGCCTACATATTGAAATGTACATGCCGATTGTGATTAAAAGTCAAAAGGAAACACAGTGATGTAACTCCAGCATGTCAGCTTGCATCTCTGTACTGTCAAAGCCGGGAACCAGAAGTGAGCACTGGACAGCTCTGTGCCCTTTGTTTACGTGTTTGTGGAGTGCATGGTGTGTGGTACGTGCGCATGTGAGTTGGAAGGGCAGAGTTTGACGTCAGGCGTCTTGTTCCATTGTTGTCCATCTTGTTTTTATGTAATTTCTTAAATTACAATACAAGGCATTAGGCATTGTTATGCCGTTTTGAACAAAGCATGCTTTAGTAGGTTTTCTTTTCCTTTCCTTTGCCCATCCCTTGAGTTCACTATGGACCAGGACTACCATGGGACCTGGACTTTGGTGTCACCTTAGACTTTGAGACAGGCTCTCTCACTGAACATGGAGTTTGATGTTTGAGCTAGACTGTCTGGCAGTGGAGCTCTGATGACACTCTGTCTTCCTCCCCCTAAGCCAGCCCACTGCTAAGTGTACAGATGAGACTCCTCCCCCATGTCTGACTTTTTATATACATACGGGCGATCTCAACTCAGTTCCTCATGTCTGAACATCAAGCAGTTTGCACATGGAACCATCCTCCAGCCCTGAAATCAGTTTTATTATACTGATTTATTTAATATTGATCTATCCACTGGAAAGTATTCTGCAAGTGGTATTGTCCTGTTAATAACTATTCCAGAGTGCAGAATACTTAGAGGACACCTTTGTCAGCTCCACATCTGTCCTGGTTTACTGTAGACAGGGAAGATGGCCATTTAAAACACATCACCTACTTAATATTAGACCATGAAATTCACATTCCTGCCACAAAGGGTTGGTGACTGAATCTTCTGGAAAAGGCTGCTACTCACCAAGTAAAAGATTCAAGGGGCAGAGAATGTAACTTCCCAATGAATCAGTGCCTAAGTCTGCAGTCTACATGTGTGATCTAAGTCAGAGAAACCAAGTCTGCTGTCTATGTGTGTGATATAAGTCAGAGGACCAAGTCTGCAGTCTATGTGAGTGGTCTAAGGGACCATGGCAGATATGGGTTTGCAGGGACAGTGAAGGCACAGCCCAGCAGTCACTTCATAGAGACCAGTGGATCAGCTAATAATACTCAACGGGAAGTCTAAGAATGCTAATTTCATCTTTAAAAAAAGAACCTTTGCATCATCTCAGTTGACCTTCATCTGTTTGCTTCCTTTTTAATTGGCACAAATCTCACTCTGACAGTTGGGTGTCCCTCCAGCATGCCTAACTCCTAAGAGGAAATAAATATTGAATTGAATGGTTTTGCTGAGTCCTTGTAGCTTTGGGCTCTTACCAGGCAGTTGGTTCAGTGGGTGTTGAGTTGGAGGCCTGTCAGCATCATTTAAGAGGATAGTAATGTCTTTTTGGAAAGGCATCTGATGTGGCCTCCAGGGGCCCATTTAAGAGACTGAGTGTCAAGGATGTGGAAGAAGTAAAGGAGTCTTACTTAAGTTGAAATCCTTACTTAAGTTGAAATATCACAATAAAATCATTTCAGAAGGGTAGAGAGAGGACTTAGTGGAGAAGAACACTTGCTTTTAAACATGGTGACCTGAGTTTGGATATCCAGCCATTGCATAAAAGGGCCTGGTATGACTGTGTGATGGTGCAACACTAGGACTGTGAGGAAGGTATGAGGGTGACAAGGGGTAAGACATACGAGGGAACCGAGACAGGAGGGTCTCTGTGGCTTGCTAGCATCCAGTTTAGCTCCAGGTTCAGAGAGAGACCCTTTCTCAAGGGAACAGGCAGAGAGAGATAGGGCAGCTGTTCATCCTCTTCCTACCTCTAAAACTGTGTGTGTGGGTGTGTGCCTACACAGAATTGTGCATGCATTGCACACTTGTAAATGATACTTAATGGATATATACTCAAATTATTCATTGTGACTATGGCAAGGAACATAATGCACCCCTAATGATAGCATTTGCATGCTTTATCTCACTACGACTCACACCTGTCTGAGGGGGCTTGGTCTGTAACCCCCTGTTTCTGGACTGTGGAAAGTGAGATTCCATCATGTAAAGCCCCATGGCCGTCAAACAAGCTGGCCTTGCACACGTGGTAAAGGCAGGCTGGAAGGCAACCTGGCCTTGTTCCTGGGGTTTCTCCCTTGACGATTTTGATCCACACACAGAGGTGAGATTAAATGCACCCTCCAGCTGGTTTTCTCTCATCATCTCTGTGCTTAGGAATGTTTCTTATGCCTATGTTTCCTCAAGAGGTTGTGAGGCTATGTTTGTCCCATGGAAGTGCTTCCTGTAGCCCACCTGAGCAGTGACTTCACATATAGAAGTTAGCAAACGTAAGAGACCCCGTACGCATGCCTGTGACCTCAAAATAGATTGAAAACACATCCTGTTCCAGCTTCGGTGATTGTCCTTGAACTAGGGCATCACACAAAGCCAGTCACTTTCCTGTCCAGTCCCCTCTTGAGTTGTCTCAAAGCAGCTCAGTAATAGGAGGAGAAGGTGACACAGCCCTGTGCTCCACCTGCAGCAGCCTGATGAGTTCACTGCAGAGACCTCCACCTCGATGAGGCAGTTTTACTTGTCCACGGGAAAGACTTGCAGGATGAGCCAGAGTAAGATGGCTTGGGGTTTGTTAAGGAAAAATGCTGACATAGATTTAAACAGGTGTAATCAGAAGGGACGGGAGAAGGTCAGGGGGCACTGGGATGTGCTTGCTAGCCTTCCAAAGATGGTCACAGAAACAAGCCTAATCCTGATAGCCTCTTATAAGGTTTTGGTTGTTGAGAGGGGGATACGGTGTGGGTGTTCTGAGAAAAGTTTGTGGTTGGATGTGATCAAAATATATTGTAATTGTCTGCACGTGGGAAGTCCTACAAGGATAAATCAAACAAGCACTTCAAAAGTCAAGGCGTGTTTTGACTAAAGTTAGGTTAGCAATTTTTATGAAATTTCAAGACAACTAGTTACAGGTTTACATCAGAGGCAAGCCACACACGCTCAGACTTCCATGGGGGCACATGACGTGCTTAGGGTTCTCTTTTGGAATGTCTCTCTTAAAAAGATATTATCTTTATACAGGCAATCTTCTTAGTGATTTTTTTAAAGACAGTCTCTCACTATGCAGCCCTAGAGGGACTGGGACTTGCTATATAGGCCAGGCTGGTCTCAGTCCCATAGAAACCCACCTGCCTCTGAGTTTTGAGGTCTGGGGTTCCAGGCATGCATCACCATGCCCAGTTTTCACCATAGATTTTTTTGTGTCAATATTCTTAAACGGTCATACATTTCTGAAGGAGGGGCCTCTTTTCCTTCTCATGTTCTCCTTTTGGTTTCCCTGCTTTGTTATTTCTTTTAACCCAACACAAGCAACATCAGTGATGAACACACAATGGTGCCTCTAACAAGAACACTGCAAAGCTTCCCCCCACTCTGCACCTGGGCAGAGGTGAGCATCGTCACTTGGGCAGAGGTGGGCATCTTCACCTGGGCAGAGGTGGGCATCTGCACCTGGGCAGAGGTGAGCATCTTCACCTGGGCAGAGGTGGGCATCTTCACCTGGGCAGAGGTGGGCATCTGCACCTGGGCAGAGGTGGGCATCTTCATGCAGGGAGAGGTGGACATATCTTCAGAGGAGAACTGCTTATCTATTGAGTCTCTGCCTGGATGTAAAGCCACCCTCCCCCTTCTCCACCATCAATCTGTTTCTGAGTGAAACACACTAAACTTCAATTTGGTAATTGCATCTTCAGATCCTTTAATGAAGGTGTTTATCAACATATAAATAATTGCTGGGTAATTTTGTATTTGCCAACTGCATCCTGCTGGAAGGGTAGGTGCACCCCACACACACACTTGTAGACGTCCTGAATGTCAAGGGCAGCAGTTCAGAACAATTCCCCAATGTCAGTTCGCCTCATTCTGTATCTACCCTGCCTCCTTCTCCTCCCGTGCTCTTCCAGCTGTGCTAACTCACGATTCGAGTCCATGACAGATAGGTACAGTCCCCCCTTCCCCCGGAGAATGAGCGGATAGGTCATGCAGGGAACGTGGGATGAAGTCGGTCTCTCACTGATTTATTTCCTTGTCTGGATAATATCCCCCTGAACTTGCTCACTCCAGGCACCGGCACTGAAGGCTTCCTTCTGTATCTTAGGCTTCCATGTGTGTGTGTGTGTGGGGTGCATGTATATGGGGGAGTGTGTGACTTTGTATATATATGGGGGTACAACTCACGAGAGTCATTTCTCTCCATTTACCGTTTGAGTCTTAACTCAGATCACAAGGCTTGGCAGCAAGAGTCTCTCCCGGTTGGCCCATCTCACAGGCTTTCCGTACTCTGTTCTCACAAGACCCTTCGTTGGCCTCACCAACCAGGAATGAATGGCTGGCCAGCGTGTTCCAGTCAGCGACTGTCTCTGCTTTTCCTCCTCTGCCTTGTGGTTACAAGTGTTCAGGAGCCATTGTGTCCAGCATTTTAAGTAGGTTCCAAGGGATTGAACTCAAGTCCATTGCTTGCAAGGCAAGAGCTGTTCTGAGTGGGGTGCCACCCTGACCCTCCTTATTATTTTGCCTGAGTTGTGAAATTATCCCCGGCCATAGGGAAGAGCTGTGGAGCGTCCCAGTGGCTGACAGCTAAGATGAAAGCAGGGCACCTCAGCTTCACACTATGAGTGCTGTGTGCCTGACATGCTCTTTGGAGCCTGCCGAGGGCGTGGCTAAATGCTGGTGCCTGGTACAGAAGAAAGGAGATAGCTGTTAGCCCGCTTTTCCCAGGCCCTGTTATTATTTTGTTGCTGTTTAGCACATGGACTCCTGGAGGGAGTTGGCAACTAACAGCTCTTCAAGAAGTATTCTTAAAAGCTGTGCTGAAATCATGCACCTCCTGTAGAAACAAGTGTGATTTACATCTAATATGGGTAATTACTTTTACAGTTAATTAAAAGCACTCTCATTAGGCCCCTGCCGTGGCATCAATGCATAGTTCTTATTTGCCAAAGGACCCCGGGTTTGAGCTCACCTATCCCAGGGCTCCTGCCCAGGAGCAGCTGACTCGCAGGGATCAGATCCATTGTGCTAAACCATCAGCCACCGCCTTAGCTGAGGCCCAGCTGCCTCCCATTGTGCTAAAACCATCAGCCACCACCTTAGCTGAGGCTCTCCCCCTCCCCCTTCCCCTCCCCTCACTGACTCACTCCTGTGTACACAGCTGGAATTGAAACCCTACTACCGAAACCTTGGGATAAAGCCAGCCTAAGGAAAGGGTTCCGTGAGGCCATCCAGCAGTCGTGCTGAGAGGAGTCAGTGGCAGCCTCTCGCTTGCGTTGTTTTCAGAAAAGCTTTGTTTATGGGAACCTTCTGTGGTCCTCTGCTTTTTCAGATTTTCAGTTTCTTCTAAAGGAAGTATCAGTTCTGGAAGAAATGTTCTTTAAATCTTCCTAATATACCTCTGCTTACTTATAAGGTCAGTGTGTGGGCGGTTGAATCCGTTTCTCATAGATTGCACTAGGATTATATACTGACTCCCCAGCCACATGATATCAGGTGACATGATTCTTAGACTCTTTGTGATCTTCACTTTTAGATTAAAATCCTAGTGTTTCCCTTTTCACAATACCTATGGTACAAAGGGGGCATCCTTATTATGCTAAACCTTGGTAAGTGCTATTAATATAATGTGTCTTTAAACCTTCTCATTTTTTAGAAAGTACATAGAGTTTAGCAATTAAAACATGCAGTTGTTGGAGAGTATAATTTTGAGGGAACAGAGATTATTATTTCAGGAAATTTATAGAGGGAACTGATCCTTTATGTTGCTTGGCAGCATTGATAGTGTTTTTGCAAAGATCCCTGCTGCCATCTGCTGGCCAGATGTGGTATTGTATCGTGCTAAACAAATTTGTGAATGGAAACTTGCTAGGAAGTAGAGACTACATTTTGTTTTTCTTCATGGAATCAAGTAGGTGACCTGATTTGAATGCTGACATTTCAACTGAGTAGATTCAGACTCAAGCATCCATCTGCAAGGCATGATGTCATAGTTGTGTCAATTCTCCTGTGAACGTGTAGTTTGACAGCATCCTTCATATGCATTGTGGTTATCTCGTTCTGAGACACACAGGGCATGCCCTAAACCACAAAGAAAACCAAGCCCTAAGGCAATTGTGTTTTGTTAATCTTGAAATAAGACCCAGTAAAAAATGTCTATCAAAAACTAATTGCAACATGCATTTTTTTTGCCCCTACCAAGCTGTATTTGCCACTATTTGCAGTACGTGAGATACTACGGTGACAAGGTGATGAGATGAACAGAGAGGACTGACGGATGCATTTTGATGTCCTGTCAAGCCAGCTTCTGTCTGCCAGCATTTCACACCTCTGTTGAGCCTGGGGAGCTTAACTGATGGTGTGAATCTACAGAGCAGGGGACTTTGGAACTCAGAGTCTTTCGTTTGTTTGGGCTTGAGACAGTCTCTGGTACAGGCTGGCTTTGAAGTTATGATACAGCTGCAGGTGACCTTGAATGCAATACTCGAACTCAACAACACCGTGTCTGGACGCTGAGGTGCATCACAGGAACACCAGGCGGATTCAAGTGGCTTACACCATCAGCTGTCAGCATGCGTGAGACCCCTTTCTCCTTCTCCTTGACATTCAGTTTAACAGCTGCAAGTGGGGAAGCTGGGCTGTATGGCTCCTGTGGGTGAACCTTCCTCTTATAATTTGCTTTGGAAAGGAAAACAAATAAACAAAACAAAGTTGGAGTTGCATAAAATGGATGAAATGTTCTCAGTCTCGGATTCTAAACTCATTTGCATTGCCTTATTTCTTCGTGTCTTTATCTGTCTATTGAGAAAGGGTGCTAACATGTGTAGCCCAGGCTGGCCTTCAACTTGTGACTCTCCTGTCTCCACTTTAGAGGGATGATAGATGAATCCCACCACAGCCACATGCCTGTACTTACACACACATATGCACATATCTCTACATATGTTCTATATGTTTATGTCTAAGTATAAGCGTGCGCACACACACACACACACACAGAGGCAGGGGGGGAGCCTTACTCATGGAAGATATGTGTTCTTTCATATGCATATCCGAAGCCTTTCATGGACTCATTTTTACAGGAGGAGTAATTATTGTTTTCAGAACAGTGGGAAAGGCCAGCATGTGAACAATCAGAAAAATCTGCATATACAGAGAGAACCAGTTCTAGCCCTGACTCAGGATTCCATGGCCTCTACAGTCCTGTTGCAGGACCACCACGCAGGCATGGAATTCTGCTGATGTCACGGTCCCACTGTGCCACTCATCTTCAGCTTGTAAACCAAGGGCTAGACACTTGGGTTCCTCCCCAGGAGAAAGGTAGTTGATCACAGGTGTGACTTGGGGCTTGTCTCTGAACTCTTGTGTCATGTCACACTCCATAGGGATGACTTCCATGTGCCTTACGTCTTTGTCTATCCCATGATATCCTCTGTGGACTGCCGGAAGCAGGAGAGGGACACTGTGACTGGTATCAATGACCCAAACTTAGTCCTATTCAAGACTGAGCAGCCTGCTCTTGTCTTTCCATTGCACTTCCAGAACAGATGGCTGACATCACCAATTCAGCAAAGTGAGGTCAGTGTTAGGAGAGCACTCTGACATCAGTATGCCCATCTGCCATGGCCAGGGACTCCTCAGAAAGCATCTCTTCCCCCCATCAGTGGTCTTTTTGAACCATACCTTTTTTAGTGGCAGCAGCTTGCACATATGTTTTCGTTGTCCACAGTTACTGTGACAAATGGCCATAGGTCCTTTAGTCAACAGAAAAGCATTGTCTCACTTCTGAAGGCTGCAAGGGTGAGGTTAAGGTATGGGTAGGACAATACTCACACTGAAGCCATGTGTCCTTTGGCTTACTGCAACACCAGTCTGGCATCTACCTGTCTTTGAGTGACCAGCCACTTCTCTTCTTAAAAGTCACCATGTATGGGTGGGAGTTGGGGCAAACTGGATACCACAGATCCTTTGTGTCTCATGAGTTCTGTCACACATGTGTACACCCACCCACCAGATTCTCTCAGGTGTGGCCTTTAGGGATCAAGGCATAGGCAGACATGCTTTTGGCGGGTTATAATTTAACCATGCACAGGCCCTCCTTCTGCATGCTGTGATGACTCTGGGATCTCAATGTCAGGTGTCTTTCTCCGCTTATCACAGGGGACTTTATGTCCCAGCCCTTCAGAGCTGTGAATGATGCTTACAGATGACCCAGGATCACACTGTTTCTGCCTTGTGGCCAGGAATATTTCTTACCTACAAAACTCATTGGAAACAGCCAACATGCAAAGCACAGATGCAAGAAAGCTCTCATGGAAAAAGGGAAGAGGAAACAGCAAATGCGTCTGGAGAGAATCGACCCCTGTGGGCTTTAGAATCTGCAAACTGGAAGAACACAGAGGCCTCAAAAGAGAAAATGTTAAAAAGTGCTAAAGATCTGGGTCGCAGCTGGCCACACGGAGCAGGGATTCACAAGGATTATGGGCCTCTGCCTTTCTTTCTGCAATGTGTGTCTATGTGCTCAGGTTTATCGCATGCACATTCATCTGTGCAGGGCTTGTCAATGGCCGTCTGTCTTAGGTGCCCACCATCATGACTTTTGAGGCATGGTCTCTCACTGAGACGAGTTCACCAATTCAGCTAGATACGCTGGCCCATGAACTCCAAGGCTTCTCCTCCTCCCCTGCCTCCTTGATGATGAGATTACCAACATATAACTCCACACCTGACTTTTCACATAGTTTCTGGAATTAATCAACTCCAGGGCTTCAGGCTTTCATGGCAAGCATTGACTGAGCTCCCAGGCCTCAGTCAGCCTGTTTTTGTGGAGCCCCCTCCATTGTATACCTAACTCTAAACAGGGTGGCCCCACACTCTTGGCTGAAACTCATCTGTGGCCAACAACTTGAATCCTCATTGGAGACAGTCCAGCCGTCTGCTACAGGAGCCAACGAGCCGCTTCTGCAGGAAAATTGATTGCTTGGCAATGAGTACAAGCCTTTAGATTCATACTTAATACTTAAGTCATTGAGTTATTTTCCAAGCGAAGTTATCAAGTGGGCCTGAAGTACTTATGCAATGACTTGGGTTCAGAAAAGGTCACCTCGGAACCATCCGGAGACGCCCGCTCTGTGCAGAGCGATCTGAACAATAATTTGTTCGCGCCCAAAGTGACATTTTTCCAATTTGAGCCCAACATTGTTCAGAAGCGAGCGCCGTCCCCTGGGGCGCCTTCAGTGTGGATCTGAGGCGCATGACAAACCAACAATATCATCTAAATAAAAAATCCAGCCTGGGTTTAGTAAATTAATCCTGACAAGAATAAATTGGATAATCTAAGAGAAGCGGCAGGGCTCCCATCCTGCAAGGTGGCGTGTTCCTTCTTCCCTCCATCACTCAGGTGGGCTCTCCATAGCATATTAAAAATGCAAACCTGCCTCGGGGTCACTGATTTCATCAGTTTATTGATTAGCACCTTGCCACTTCTTCGGAGGTTAGCAGAGCCCGACCCTTCGTTTCAACCTGATACATTTCCACTTGGAGAAGGGAAGAAATCCCTGAGTTAGCTGGTCAGAGGGAGGCCAAGCAGGCAGAACCCCAGGGCTTCTCACTGGGCCGCTAGGTGGCTTTCTGACTGTAACTTGTGACAGCAGTGGTTAAAAGAGCAACAGTTGCAGGCCGCCCTAGTCTCCTCCACAGAGCGACACCTTTCTTTCTCTTTGATTTGTTTTACTTTTCCCAAGTGTTTCACTTTCATAAAGTTGCCCACGCTGGCCTGACATCGAACTGACTCTATATCGCAGACCTGTGATGCTTTCGCCTTGGCCTCCCCAGCAGTTTGGATGCCAGGCCCAGATCCCCATGCATGTTTCCAGTGGCAAAGAGGCGCTCCTTGCTTGTTGCATTCTCTCCCCGAGTTTAGCTCCTCTTCAGCTTTTGTTCCCTAGCAAGAAAGTGAGCATGAGGTCTCCTCTCCACTAAGCAATTGCTAGTCCAGTATCTGAGAGTGTAGCTCTTCGATAAGTGTGTGTAAGGCAAGGAAGGAGACCCCTGGGGCCAATGTGTCCCACATCCTGGGACTGTTCCTCATACTGTACCTCTCCTGCTCGTGCCTCCAGCAAGGGGCAACAGTAGTTTCTGGAGGCTTCTCTGATTTGAATTTTTTAAAAAAAATATTCTTTATGTTTCTCATTAGCTCAGAGTAACCTGAAACTATCTGTTTAGTGGAGGATGGCCTAGAAAGCCTGACCCTCCTGTCTCCACATTCTGAGTGCAGAATGACAGACATTCATCACTAGGCACATTTTGGGTGGTTCTGGGGATTAAAGCCATAGCTCATCAACTGATTTACATCCCCAGGCCAAGGAGGCTCCATGAGCAAGGACACTGACCCTATTGGATCAGACCCTAACCTCAGGGATTTGATTACCTTGAAGTCTTCCTTTTAAGGACCCTTCTCTGTGCAAAATCACAGCAAGACTTTTAGATCACCAATTTGGAGGTGGAGAGGGTGAAGCTGGTGAGGAGCACCTGTTAAGACCACGAATGTCTGTTGTGGAATCTGACTCAGGACACTGCGATAAGACCTAAGGCATGGATGTTCGCAGCATCTTCATAATACTGTATGAATGGGAGGCAGGTCCATGCTAGGAACACAGCTACTGCTCATATTAACCCCATGCTGCAGAGAAGAGTCGGGGATTCTGAATGGGGAAGTCTTGTACCAAAGTCCTCACAGATGCTCTGTGGCGGAGGATGAGACTGGAGGAGTCCAAACAAGACCCTGAATCCAGCCTGTAGGTCCCTAATACAGCAATGAGCGCTCAGCCCAGGGTTCTGTACTCAAATGTGTATCCTTCCTTACTTGTTTATTTAAATTGAGAAAGGCTAGCTGTATGTGTTTATCAGGTTGGTGTGGGTATTTGGAAGTCTATACCTAGAGAATCTAATTTACACCTAGCTGCCTCACACAGACTTTGTGGTGAGTGTGCATCATGGCTCTACTCTTGTGACATCTGTTACAGATACAGCTCAGTATGAACTACAGTCACCACATCGTACAGGAGACCCCTGAGTTCACTCTTTGTGTCTCCTCCAGACTGCTCCATTAGATTGACAGGTTGCCGGCTGCTAGGGCTCTGCCAGCCTTTGGCTAGACACCTTTACCTGTCTCCTCATATTTGAGATCTTAGTTTCCTATGGTGGTTTTTTTTCTGCCCCTGAAGTATTTCATTTCCCACCACATTGCTTCATACTCCCTCAAACCCCATACTTCCTTTCTTTTTAATGGCTGCAAAATATTCAGCTGTGTGTGCATTATATTTTCTTCACCTATCCCTGTTTCACACTTACATTTTTCCATATTTTAGCACCTGAGGATTGTTTCAATAATTACGGAGGCCCAGATGTCTCTTGAACCTGCTGATTTTGTTTCAATTCACAGTGAAATAGTATTCTCAGACCATAGTTATGTAATTTCCCTTGTCTCCTTTCTTTCTATTTTTCTTTTAATTTGTGTGGTACACATGTGTATGTTTGGAGGCCTAGACTGACACTGGGGGTTTTCCTTCTTGTTCTGCGCTTTGAAGCAGGGCCTCTCAGCTGAACCCAGAGCTTGGTAGTACAGCCTAGTCTAGATAGCCAGTTTGGTTCACTATCTACAACTTCTGAGTCCTGGAATTAGGGGAACCATCCAGCTTTTTCATAGGTTTCAGAGATCTGAATTCAAATGCTGTGAGAGCAATCTTCTCAGCCCTTCATATTCTCTCTCTGTCTCTCTCTCTCTGTCTCTGTCTCTCTCTCTGTCTCTGTGTGTGTGTGTGTGTGTGTGTGTGTGTGTGTGTGTGTGTGTGTGTGTCCCTCTTTCTCTTTCTCTCTGGATCTCATTCTCCCTCTCTCATTTCTTTTGGAACCTCTGTAAACTTCCTGAAATGACCATAAGAATGCATTTTAAAAACAAACATACAAACAAACAAAACAGAAAACCTAAACCTTTGATATTGCTCCCTGATTTCCAGGAAGCTCACCTTAAGGTCTTTGCTGTGTAGTTAGCTGTAGTTGCTGCTCCCTAAGTGTTTTTTGTTTTGTTTTGTCTTGTTTTGCAGACACTGCATTGACCTCTGCTCTCTTCCCCCACCCTTTATTCTTTTGCTTATCTCTGGCTGAAGAGTCATATTCCTTGCTAGAGTGCACCTAAAATGCCATCAGGGGTCTTAACACGTGCTACTCCATTGGTGGGACTTCACTCCAGGGGTCCATTGTTCAGTGTGGACTGTCCTTCAAGACTTAAACTTCTTTTGGTTGAAATCTAAGGCTCCTGCATTCAGCACCTCACAACTTCTCTCTGGATTGTTTTGCATGGTAGTGCATATCTTGTCCCAGATACATTTACCAATCTGCCTTTTGTATTTTCTTTCTTTGTCCCCAGAATATGAGAATCGTCAAGGTAGGTTCTGTCCTGTATTGCATACATTATTGGGCCCTTTGTATCTAGAACTTGGCCTGATATTGGTGGGTACTAAATATCACTACTCTTTGGGTTTTTATGTATGTGTACTTATTTTGTGAGGAGGTTGGGAGGGAGTACATGCTATTGCATAGCTGTAAAAGTCATAGGACAGCTTATTGGAGTTGGATCTCTCCTTCTACTAAGTGTATCCTAGTGATTGAAAGTGTTTATTAGGTTTGGCCATAGGTGTCTTTACCTAATGATCCATCTTTTAGACCCCAAGTATTTTGCATAAATAAATCAATTCCATAGTTTCTCATGTGATTATGTCTCCCCTTCTAATAAGTTCTTTCAAGTTGGGAACCATAAGTTTCACCTTTGTGTGAGAAAATAACAAAATTGTATTATATGTAGATATGAAATAAATATAGACAGTTGAGTAGGTGACAATTAGGTGAAGGATGGATAGAGAAATGAATGAATGGGTGAGTGGATAGATAAATGGATGGGTGGCCAAGCATCCAGACAGATAAATGAAAATGTGGATGGGTGGATGGATAGATGGACAAATGGATTGTGAAGGAATGAATGAATGAATAGATGGATGGATGAATGGATGCTTGGATGGATCAATGGGCAGGCATATAGACTGACTGTTAAGTGGGTGGATAGGTGAATGGATAAATGTGTAAATGGCAAAAGAGATCAACTGATGGTTAGATGAATGAATACATATAGTAATGGATGAATGGGCAGATGGACTGAGGGATGGATGGGTATAGACAGAATGATTGATGGACTAATAGCTGGATGGGTGGTTGGTTGGTTGATTGGGTGGGTAGATAAATTGATGGTTGGGAGGATGAGTAAATAGATGGGTGGACAGACAGATGAGTAGGGAGATGACTGAATGAACAAAAGAATAGCTACATGATGATGGCATGTGTTGAAGGCATACATTTTGCATATGTCACATGTAGAGGAGTACATTAAATCTGCTGAAAAATGTTCATTCTCATATGAATAAAGATACTAGGGAGAGAAAATTTTAATGGCCCTCCCTCAGTTTCTCTTCGCTGGTCTCTGACCAGTAGCATTCAGGTTCACCCCTCATCTGCATGTAATAAAACTTCCTCACAACACCCATATGCCCCTAATGCAAACACCACTGTGAACACCTCCGAAAAGCATCATAAAGTGCAATGACTCGAGAAAGAAAGAGCTGGCGGGAGTGATCTTTCATTAATATAAAGGGCACCTCAACAGTGCTGCAGAATGTCCTCCAAGTACAAGGCTGACTTCTGCTCTTTTTCCCTCTTTCTCCTCCTCCAGGATATCAAAGTCAACTGCAATAACTGCTCGGAAACAGAGGACAGAAAGGTAAGTTCATGTTTTTTTTTAATTTCTGGTTTCAAACACAGTAGGAATGTTGTAATTGCAGTCCAGGAGTTCTGGTGCCCCTCACCAGTCCCTGCTCTGGAGGTGACTTGTGCATTGACACTTGGACACAGACAGTCACAGCTTAAAATGACCACCATTTTATTCCCTCATTGTCTGTGTTGTTTCTGATGGCTATATCCAGGAATGGGTAATGTAATTAGTTTTTACAAATATGTGGTTCTGTGGTTTTATTTTACTATCCTTTTCAGAGAGAAATAATTTACTGATGCTTCATGTTGCAATTTTGATCAATGTGCTTGATATTTGATGCAAGTACCATACATAGTGTTGCATAATATTATATGCATTATGATGTCTTGTTTCCCAGCATATATTCCCTGTGTATCTTTTCCAGTGTATTTACTTGATAGACAGTTCACCTTGATTTCCTTCAGGACCCACCTGTGACTTCCTGTTTGAGATTGGAGACTATTGGAAGGTTACATTGGACATGAATGAGTTTCCCACACATCTATTTTGTTTGTGAGTCTTGCTCTGGGTCCCCTCAGGAGACGCAGCAGTCAGGTCTTTGTTGTTTGATATTCTCAGTCTCTCTTCATTAGAAATGTTCACAGAAGTTTCTGTGACAAAGCACAACTGAACACATGGAGTCTCACTATTAATGTGGTGCATCCAATGAGCTTACGTATACGAGAACATGAGACATGAACCTCCTGGCTACTCCTGGCTACTCTACGGATCTAGGAATATGTCTCTCTTTGTGATGGTGCTGCTGTGGGCTCCTGTGGCCATCATCTCATGGCAAGGTTTTGAACAGTGGTTTTATGATGGCTATAGCATCTGCTGATTGATGTGTCAGATGACCCCTCAACATAAGACTCTTTTCTAATATAAAGCGATCGTCTGCATAGTTTTATGGAGTGTGGATCACGGCAGCTCAGGTTTACAGTACAGTTTTGTTTAAGCTGAGCTCTGATCCCGTGTCTGTGCTGAAGTTCTAGTTTCTGATTCCATGTGCAATAAGTGAGCATTCTAATGTGTACACATGTGGATATCTGTGCGTGAGACACAAAAACATTGCCACTTACGTGGCCCATATCTTCATAGCCTTTACCTAGTTTCTATTCCTTTTCCAGCCATTGAGCTCATATTGCAGTGCTCAGGAAGCCAGCTCCCTTGGTTACATCCCAAATTCAGGATGCTTTGACTTTCTTTGAAACTTTTATGATGTCTATAAGTATATTCATGTCCAGTGTCATTTTTAAGAACTAACTTTCTGACAGAGTTTGAAAGCTGCCAGGGCAGTAGGTGTTGAAGGAATGACTTCAGCTCTTTCATTAACCAGGCACCTGAGATGGAACATACTCTGGAATTCCAAGCCACCCAGGCTCTGTTTCTCCTGCCCTTACTGTGTGTGGTCTCTCTGTCCATCATCGACACTTGGAAGTTATACAGTCATTCTCTACATTTCCCCATTCTTCTGGAGAAAGGGTATTACACACACACACACCCTTTTCACATATACTCCAGTTATGTTAGACACTTTAAATAAAACAAAATTCTGAAAGCTTTTTCACTTACTCCCTGAGATTGTGCTGACACGATTGATTCACAAATGAATCCAACAGTTGCAGCAGCTGCTGCTGAGTCTTACTAGTGTACATACAGGGAAGAGCCTGCTCAGACTGTGTTTCCCTAGATATGGGTGTTATATCTCATGTTTCCCTAGATATGGGTGTTGTGTCTCCTGGAGTTCTTTCACTTCATGGAAAAGGATCAATCAAAATCTAAGTGTCCTGGAGGGGACATATCCTCCAGCCCTGTCAGAAGAACACATAGCCAGTAGCCTCTCTGCTGGCAATACAGCTGCATCCACACCGGGAGGTGTCTGCTGTAGCAGCTGGAGTGCCTATCATTTGCATCCAAGAATGCATCCTAGACCTTCTGCTACTCTGATGTATAATTTGTTACCATGATTTATACATTTGAAGAGCTGGCCCTTCTTCTGGTATGTGCAAGTCCTCCATGTCCCTTTCTGTACAACCTAAATGCCTCAGGAAATATTGGCAATTTGATAAAGTGGAATTAAAGTGACAAGAGATGACAGAGGTGCCACAATAATAAGTAAACCTGCCTCAGAAGCAATGACCCCTTGGCCTGTGTGGATTTTTACAGCAGCTGACTGCTCTTGGGGCAGACTTGGCAGGCTTTTCTCTACAGCTCCTGTTAGTTGAGAAGGCTGTATAGTGCTCAGGCCCCCTCCAGTACTTGACAGCATCCAAGAATAACTTTGATTTTCTTTTCATCTTTGTGTCTTTTAAAAATATAATCTTCCTTTGCTTTCTGTCTTTCCATATGCTCTGCATGTGTAGGATTCATTCTGTCCCTCCATCTCCACTGGTGCCTGTATGCCTCAGTGCACATCTCATTGGCAGACTTTTGTTTTTTGAAATGTAAACACTTCAGTAAGGTTCCTTCCCTGACTACCCCCCTTCCTCTTTCTTGATAGGGTCTTATGTAGATCAGATTGTCTTCATCCTCACTGTGTGGCTGGGGATGACCTTGAACTTCTGCTCCTCTTCCTTCCACCCCTGGGGTGCTCGAATTACAGGTTCAGGCTACCATGGCTAGACAATGTGGTTCTGGCGACTCACATCAGGAATTCCTGCATGCCAGGCAAGCACCCTACCAAATGAGGCGCGAGGCACACCCCAGTCCTTCCGCTTCCAGTTTTATGCTTACCTTTGCTCCCTTTTGCTAGTTAGTGATGTTCATTTGGAGATGGGTTCTTGCCCTGTGGCACTGTGGGCTGATAGGAAGAGCTATGACAGTATGACAGCCCCCACTCAGTCAGAGATCCCAGTTTTTATTTTATCGATTAATATTTTGTCTTCTGACCTCAAACACACATGTGAGGTCAGAAGACAAATTTTAGGAGTTGCTTCTCTAATTTCACTGCCATAGGGACTTAGGTTATCAGGCTTGGTATCCCCTAGAGGATACTCAGCTGAGTGAGAAAACATTCCCTTTCTCTCCCATTTTCTGTGTCTTGTCTTTTTGCTTGTTTTGGGGATCACTGTCTCTTGGGAGACCTCACCCGGTTGTTTATGGGACATTTCGAGGTGGCTACCCATATGAGGTCTTATTTTGTTCCTTTCACTTCTGACCTGTCAATTAGCAGGGCCCCTGAGAAGGTACCCAGAGCATAATAGGGTCCTTCCTTATCCTTTGTCTCCTGGAAGAAGGCACTGCAAGATATTAAAGGCATGTGGAGTGCCATACTCTGCTACTTGATACTGGACCATGGATAATGGCTTCCCCCAGGTAAATGCCACAGAACTAATGTGGGCTCAGCAAAGCTGATGGGTGGTTACCCATCACACTGCATCCCTGCTTGGCCCTGTACAGCTAGCTGCACAAACATGACATTACCGCACCTGGGTTTCTGCTTGGGGAACTGAGACATTTGAATTCATATTTATTTGTGGTGTAAAATCCATCTGAATTTCAAACTATGATGAAGACGGTGATTCTGGTGATGAGTACAGAGGCTGGTGCATGAGTCAGAGGGAGTCTGTCAGGGGAAGACAAGAGCCCATTTGTCAAAAGCTGTAAACACAGGCAGGGCTTCTTTTCCTCCCTTATCTCCTGGCCCGGGGCAGCCAAACAGCTTTGGATCTGCCAAGAAATCTTATGGAAGGGTTTTGAGTGGTTCCAGCTCAGGTTTCTTTGTGTGGGCTTGAAGCTGTGATAGTCAGAGAAGCTGATGTGCTCTGCCTAGCAATGCCCACTCAGAAGGTACCTTTGACCAGCTTTTGTTCTGGATGAAAGGCCAAAAATAGTTCTGAACAATGGTATCAGCAGGGATGGGGAGTCTATTCCTGTCCTGTAGAGGAAATAGATCTGAGCTCCAAGGATGAAGCTGTCTTAAGTTTTAATCCATGCTGGGTGGTCTTTTTGTTGATGTAATGGTCTATGAGTTATCCCTGCCCCTATAAGTAACTCCTCACTTGTGATCCCTAAATAAGACTGATATGCCCATTACTTCACCATGTTGGCTTTAGTCAAATTGTTTATTTGGTCTTTGATTGTGCTCTATCTACGGTACACAGATGTTTGTTCACATCTTCCCATCAAACACACACACACACACACACACACACACACACACACACACACACACACACACACCAGTAGTACCCCAATCTGGGTACAAACAGCATGACAAATGTATGGAACTCCTGAGAACTGAGGCTCAAGATACGGAGGAAAACAGGGCTTAAGGATGAGATGGAAAATAGGCCAGGCTAGGCTAAGAAAACTCAGTAAGCAGGGAAAGTACCCTACCCATTGCACAGAATATGATCAATTTTACACGGAATCTGGTAAAGCTTTGTAAAAGGAACAGGGGGTAAAACATACTGTCATGGCCTTAGGGTGTCTATGTAGTGTTTGCTTAGACATCTTTGCTCTTTGCCTCCTTGTGTCTTTGCTTGTGTTGTTCAGGACTTCTGTCAGCTCATTCATGATCTTGCCATCTGTGGCCAGGGAGGTGCCCTCCTGCCTATGTTCCTTGGCTTTTCTGATCATTCACATTTTGTTTTTCATGTTAGCTCCCCAAGGCTGTGGCTTGTCCTTAGTCACCATTGCTGTCACACCTAGCTCATTCCCAGAAGCCTGGTCTTCATCTCTGTTTTGGAATAATCATTGACACAGGTTCTCATGGATACCAGACTGAATTTGAACTGACCATGGGGCTAAGGCAGTCCTGAAATCTTGATCCTCCTGTGTCTTTATCTTTAATTCTGGAATTACAGGTGTGCAACATCATACTTGGTTTATGTGGAACTCGCCCAGGACTTCATGTATGCTAAACATATCTATTTGCATATCTATCAGCTGATTCTCATTCCTTGCCTCTTGGATGAATTTTTGTAAGAGGGGAAAATAGCAGCATCTAGTTGACCCTCAGAGAATAT